TCGACCCACGCCACCGGGTCTATTATTGTCATCACTAACTTCTCTATCAAAAACATACGCACTACTAATTACATGAGGCATACATGAAGAAAGTGCTTGATTTTACTACAAATTCCGTCTCAAATTCAGTATTACTGATTATAATTTGCTGCCACGACTAATTTTCCAACTATTCAGGTAAACTCAATCTAATGTTTTTTAATTTTATTCATAATTATTATTTTCGACTCGTAAACTTTAATAAAAGCAATGCAAGTATTATCGATTACACGCTTCGCCTGACGCTCACTACATGTTTCTAAATGATAAACCATCAGCACATCTGTCTCTCACGATACCGTCAGTTTTATTCAGCTACTGGGGCACACGAACGCGCTAATCCAGCTGGCGTCTTTTCCTCATGAAGGTAACAAAAAAGTTTTTTTCTTTGTCTCATCGTAATTTTGGGGTTTCAATAATAACATTTTAAAATTTGATTTCCAACTATAAATTCAATGGGATCATACCCTTCGCCGTACTCAGAACACGAGACAAGTTTGACATCGTTAACAGCATCTAGAAGTCCAAACTTTCGGTCAAATTTGTTCTCATGCTGGTCATCATCTACCAGTCATTCGACATCACGAGTGTCTCAGTCTGTGCCAATAGAATCTTCGATGCCAAGTTCAGTCACTGATTCCAACTCTCTCAATGTTTCAAGTTTCAAAGCAGTCGATGGTGAAGACAGCAGTGAATTTGATCTCTATAACAGTAATCCATTGACAAATGAATTGGTGTGTGAACCAGTAGAGAAACATGGTCCACCGTTGAATCCTACGATAAAAAACTCAATCTCAGCGCCAACGAGAAAACGTAAACGCACTTCAGGTGCCATGCGGATGCGTAATTTTCTTTGTATTTATCCGAGATGTGGAAAGTCATTTACTGACAGTGCTCATCTAAGAGATCACACTGTTGTTCATACTGGTGAAAAAACATTCAGCTGCCCAACTTGTTACAAAAAATTTGCTCGAGTCTCGACTTTACAAGAACATATTCGTACTCACACAGGAGAAAAACCATACGTTTGTAGTATACCTGGCTGCACCAAGCGGTACTCATCTCGAGCAGCACTGCGTTTTCATCGATCAACACACAATTTACAACCTGTGGACCAAATGCGTCCACAAGACTTAAATGCAGAACGAGTACAATCGATGCCATTTAAGTGTAAGGAATGTGGAAAACGCTTTCGTGTGCGAGAACTTCTTATGGCTCATATGAAAGTCCATAGCGTTCACTGTGCACCAACTGCAGTGACTTTGCTTCCTTCTGTCTCAACCCCAAGAACGGAAAATTGTAAGTCATTGAATGATAAAGAGAAGAGAAGAAATGTGCATTGGAAACACGGGGATGAGGTAGGACTGTCACATGAAAGCAGATTTCTTTACGATACGATACGAGCACAACAGAAACAGATAGAGCAATTAAAGGCCGAGGTGCTGCGATTGCGAGGTATTTCGGACGACATGACAGGACTGCATTCACCAAGTCAAACGTCTCAGACTATTGGAATTGTCTTGCCTGCAATCACTGCTCCAATTGAATATCTGCGAGATGGAGTTAAGCCGTTTGAGTGCTGCATCTGTCACAATCGCTTTGCCAATTTCTATCAGCTAACATTTCATGGCAAACAGCACCCAGAGCGGTCAATGAACGAAGTGACGGGGGATCAAACTCCACTTCCAGTTGGGCCAAAGCATTGTCCAGAAACACAATGTGAGTACGCGGAATCGACAGGTCGAAGTTTAAGAAATTTACAGACATTAAAACGTCATTGGCAACGACGCCATCAAAATGAAAGACCGTATACATGTTCGTATTGCCCAGCGACACGTCAAAAGACTTTCAAGACACGAGATAATCTGAAAGCTCATGAGAAAGATTGCACGAAGAACAGGCATGTTTAGTGAGTTGTCGTGGATACTGAATAGAGTATAAAGTGTAGCCAGACTACAGCTCATATCTTTCATTCTAGACAAGAACAAGGGCCAAGCTACAAAATATTTGTTTTTAATGTGACGTGTGGTTGTACGTCAATGCCTTCAAGTAGCTCTGTACATCTAGTTAACATTACAGCTGCTGTAATGACTAGCACTTAATAAAAGTTGTGTGAAGATCTTCCTTCTCTCCATGTCTTTAGACCAATTAGATACCCATCGATAACCTTAAACTTGCAATATATCTGGGCTACCATAGCATATAGCAGAGAAAATTACGCTGATATCTTAAGCTTACTTTTGTAAATTTGTAAAATATTTTAGCACTTTTATTCAATCAGCGATATGATCGATTCACTTGGCGTCATATTCGAACTATAGATTATGAACGGCTTAAACACCTTCTTCCCGAGCAATTCGGCGCCACACAACCCATACTATCGTCACTCACAATCGCAACGTCCACGTTCATCTATGGCAGACCTGATTTATGTGGTTATTGGTACTATCGTGGTCTTTATGCTTTTTAGTGCTTATCAGAACTTTCGGGATGTGGCTTCGTCGGTCGGAAATCCCACATCTATCGAAAAACAAGCAGAAGCTGCTGCCACGCTTTCAGGAAATCAATATCATCCAAGTCTCCGAGTGGAAACGCTGGATCAGAAGCTTGTGACGGATCAAGGGACGCAACAGATACAACCTTTAAGTCTCACAATCATGACTTTTAACTTGAGATATGCTGGTACTGGAGATGGACTGAATGGCTGGGATTACCGCAAAGAGCACGTTGCTGACATTATTGACCGCTATCATCCTGCTATTATGGGGACACAGGAGGGATTAAAGACTCAATTAGCCGAGCTTGAGGTAATAAATTGGAAGATCTTAGTAGTTTTCATTGATCTGTGATTCACGTTATTTGTTCTAGAGCTTGCTGAAACACCCGTACGCACGCTTTGGCATTGAACGCGAGGAAAATGGCGAGTTTGAACAGATTTTTTATGATACATCGATATTAGAACGCTTAGATGATGGGAACTTTTGGCTTTCGGAGCAACCAGACACACCAGGGACAAAAGGTTGGGATGCAGCATGTGTTCGTATGGTCACATGGGGAAAGTTCCGTTTGCGTGCTACACAACAAGAGCTTTTTGTTTTCAACACGCAGCTAGATCATGTGGGCCCGACATCACGCACAGAAGGCTCAAAGTTAATATGGGAACGCATTCAGCAGATTGCGGGTGATGCTCCATTATTTCTCATGGGAGACTTTAATACGTATCGTCACACCAGTACCTACAGTTTCTTTACATCCCAAAAAGATGGACCACATCTTCTTGAAGCATGGCCTGAAGCAAAGAAGCAAATTGGTGATGTGTCATTTACTTACCATGGTTGGGCTGGCGTGAAGAATGATGGCGAGAAAACTGCCATTCGCGCTGCTAACCACATTGACTGGATCTTTTACCGTCCGCAAATGACTGTGCTGAAGACTGAAGTTATCGTTGAAGATCGCAAGGGACGCTATCCTTCGGATCATTATCCAATTCAAGCAGAGGTGCTATTCCCAAATCCAGCTGAACTGCCATCACAACGTACCTCATAGAAAAGTGAAGATGAGATTGGCCATCTTCTTCTGTCTGCCCATTTTGTGACTACATATTTGCTTTGAAGGATTTGAATCATCAAAACGTTTTGAAGCTGCTCGAGTTCATATCATTAAAAGTACTGAGTCTTTTGCTACCACGTATGAATGGCAAGGAATTGCATGTTGGGAGTTCTGATGACATGCTAATATACTCACACTGTCTTGGTTATTCATGATGTTGTTACATTCTTAGACTTTGCTGATAAGCGCAGCATAGAAGCTTATTTATGTAGACGTTGAGTTGATATCCGATGGTTAAGCTACTAGTGAGTTTATTTGAGTCAGCGACTTTCTTTTTATTTTTCGAGTTGCTTTCCTTCGATATACTCAAATCAACCACTGGGTCAATGTCTCAGTGCTTTGCCACGGCACCAAGGGGTCCCCGGCGACTCCGGGTTTAAGTGTGTAGTTACTTGATCTGATACCGGGAGGTATCTGGTATGATTCCCATCTGGGGCAACCGGAGTTTGGTCACACAAGTGGACAAGCAATCAATTTTGCCGTGCGTGTAATAGTTGGATGGGCTGGAAGCCCTATTGACCGAAAAAGCCCCATAGTTGAAAGAAGGATATGAAATCCGGTCCCAAAGGGTCGGATAGCTACCGCATCCCGCGCTAGAGAAAGCTCAATCCTAGCGCGTGAGTTTCAGCAGCTTAAATATCTCTGACTCTTGTGATCGAAGAAGAAGATGCATTTGTTGTGGTCGTGCACTGAGGCTGTCGTAGTAAAGCTTGAGGAAGCGTGCTCAAGGTCACCGACCTTTCGTTCGTTACAAGAACCAAGTAGAGTTAGCGGATCGCAATCCGCTTACTCCAAGAGTAATTATTGCCTTTCCAAGGCTAATTGACTCTTC